GGAGTGCAAGAGCAATCAGGGAGACTAGGTGGGAGGCCCAGCGTTCATGCAAGTGAGAAGTGGCTGGTTTAGTGTAAGGCTATAGTGTGGAGATGGAGAGAAATATATGCCAGGGGTCGCTCTCACAGAATTTACTGATGGCGTAGATGTGGCCGGGGAGGAAGAGGACTGGAAAAGAAAGGAAATAATAAAGGATGGGGTTTGGGGCTTTTCAGCATCAGGTAGACAGTTGAGAGGCAGTAGAGTATAGTGACTAACAGCCTGGAAGCCAAATCCAGACTGCTGGGGTAGTACTACTTAGCATTATGTCACCTTGGGCATGTTACTTACCTCTCTGTTTTCAGTCCTCACCTGTTACAAGGGCTGAGTAAGGGCTGGTTTGAGGTTCGTGTGAGATATATAAGGTGTTACCTATTAGTATCATTATGAGTTGGTGCCATTTAATGAAGTGGGAAAATCTGTAAAAGAAATAGATACGGGGGTGAGGGAAATACAAAACAATGCTTTTGATCTGTTAGATTTGAGATGCCTTTTGGACAGCAAAGTAGAAATATCAAGGAGGCAGTTTAAGAATGGCTATTTCACATAAAGAAGTGGAATGGTATGACCCTTGCCTTTCAAATTAGAGGGAAAATATCCAACTACTCTATCTTATTTCCTTTGCTTTGATTGGCAGGAGCAGCAGGGGCCTTTCTGAAGGCTTATTCAAAGCAGTTGAAGAGAAAGGATTAACAGTATTTGCTGAAGGTAAAAGAAGGAATGCAGTGTTTAAAGAGATGTAGGCATTCTTTCTATTCCTTCCAATTCCTCCCGTCCTAATGAAGGGGAAGATAACAGTTGGGCAGTGAAGGTCAGACCATAAAAAGAGTGGCTTAACCGGCATGGGGGTGGGAGATGACCATAGTGAGGGGAGTTCTTGGGATGGTAGACTGCCCAGGGAGCTTTTTTTCTTAAATTGCAGCCAAAATTTATTGGCCACATAGTAAAATAACCACTTAAAGGTGTTCTGCTGTCCCTGACTCTAGATTTGGAAAAATGTGTGTAAGAGTCTGAACATAGAGTGAAAGTTGTGGCTGGGGCTGCTGAATCTCAAAGCATTTCTAAAAGGAACATTGTTGTTTGACTTAAAAGTAAATGTATAAAACTTGGCAAATACAGGAATCCACAAAAAAACACATCATCTTTATATTTCGATATCCTTATAGCCCATTTTTCTAAGTAATGCATATTTTAAACATATTTTCACTTAGTAATGTATCCTGGATATTTTCCCATGTCATTACATGATATATTTATAGTTATCAAATAGCTATGTAGTATTCTAATCTGTGGATAAATCATAACTTATTTTCTAATCCCTTGTATTTGAAAATTTCCAAATTTTTCACTTTTATAAGCAAGGTATTTTGAAATTCATAGAGATAAATCTTTCTATTCGCATGCAGTTATTTCCTTAGGAAAATTTTTGCTAGACTCAGACCTGCATATTTTTAAGACTTTTAATTCATAATGACTCATTACCTTGCAATAAGATTTTATTGATTTATAATCTCAGCAGTGTTTGCAAATACCTATTTCTCCACTTCCTAGCTAATACTGGGTAGTATAACTAAGAAAAAAAAATCCTAGTTTAATGAAAACTTGTACCCCTGCATCTTTGGCTCTTTGTATTCTTTCCTTTGTGACTCACCTGAGTACAACCTTTGCTCACTTTTTAATGGCATGTTACTCTTTTCCTTATTCTTTATTTTCTAATGTTTTACTTGGAAATAATTTCAAACTTACAAAAAGTTGTAAACATGATGATAGTACAAAGAGCACACAAATAGACTTTACCCAGATTCATCTATTATTAATGTTTTAACCCATTTGTTTTTTCCCCTCACCCCTACCCCTGTCCCCTCAACCCTTTCTCTCTCTCTCTCTCTCCCCCTGAAACCCACACACAAATTTTCCTGCACCATTTGAGGATAAGTTACATACAACACGACCCTTTACTTCTAAATAGTTTAGCCTAACTTTCCTCAGGACAGTGATACTTCATATAACCAGGAGTGTAATCAGTGTTATAATTTTACATACAATAATTACATTAATAATATTCTAATCTAGCATCCATATTCTAATTTTCTGAGTGGGCCTTTATAACATTTTCTCCTCTAGCACATAGTCCAGGTAGGGTCAGCCTACTTGGTATGTCTCTTTAGCCTCCTTAAATCTGGAATATTTCCAGTCCGTCTTTGTCTTTTTATGACATGGACATTTTTGAAGAATGCAGAACCCCTCATACTTTTTTAAATAAAAATTTTTTCATTTTGTATTTTTCTGGTTTCCTCTTGATTGGATTAAGGATATGTACTCTCAGCCAGAAAACCACATAGGTGAGAACGAGCACTTCTCAGAGCACCACATCTGGAGGCACATGATCATCTGCCTCTCATTGATGACGTTAATTTTGATCACCTGGTCAAGGTATTGCTCAATTTTTCCACTGTATTATTACTGAGGGGATTTGTTCCCTTTCAACCAGTAAGCAGTCTATAAGAGACACTTTAGGTCCATACACATGCTCTGCTTTTCATCAACACTTATCCCTAAATACAGCATCCATTAATGATTTTTTACCTCATCTAATCTTTATGACAGTCATTGCTAGATGACAATTTTTCCAACTCCAAGTTTCCCTGACCATTTATTAGTAAACCCTCAGCATTCTACTTTAAATAGGAGCCTCCCTTCTTCCCATTATTTATTTACTTATTGGTATGGATTCATGAACTCCTGTTTTGTTCAATGGCTTATAATTCATTATTGTACTTAATTATTTTGGCACACAAATTGTTCTAAGCTTAGCCACTGGGGGCCACTTCCGGCTGGTTCTTATGACGTTGGAACATGATCCCGTCCTCTTTCATAAGCACTTCCTTACTTTCGGTATAACAAACTGTTTCAGGTATAGCTACTCTGCCCCAGCCTTGGAATCACCCATTTCTCTGAGTAGTCCTTGTTCCTTTGAATGTGAATGGTATTAGAGACCAGTATCTAGGCTCTAAGTATGCTCATGTGCTGCTTGATTACGGTGATGGTTTCATGGGCTTGTACGTATGTCAAATCTGTCAAATTTTGGGCAGTTTATTGTATGTTAGTATAATACTTAAAACTATTTTACAAAAAGTGGATAATAAAGGAAACATGTTTTAAAAAAACATTTTTTCATAAAAGAAAAAGTATAGCTAAAGTATAGTGTTTAGGGATAAAACTTGGCAATACAACTCCAAAGAAAATCAGTGATTACCATAAAATTCATTAGAATGATCAATTTAGGGAGGAGGGAGTTGGCTATTATTTGGCCCAGGACATGAAGCTTCTAGGCTAGCTGATTAGGTTTTATTTTTTTACCTGGATGGTAGTTGCAAGGGTTTCTTCCTTGTAATAATTCATTATATAATTGTTTACATAATTTTCTGTAGTTTACAATTTTATCATTGTAAGCTAGAAAAGAAAATAAATGAATAAAAGTAAATGCTGTTCATATTCATGATATAAATAAATTATTGTTTATTAGGAATTAAAGTTATTCTGCAAGTAGGGCAAACCCATTAAGAATCTAACATTTTTTGTACATTTATAAACTTATTAAAATAGCTTTCAAAGCTATTTTAAGGTACATTCATATAATAAATTATTAATGAGAAGCCTATACAAACAAACTGGAATATTAATCTTTCTTAATATGTTAACTTTTTGAGTATTGTTACAAAACCCAATCATATAAGATCAAGACAAATGTCTATTTCAGTTTTAGAATTTCCATTTCGTTCTTTTTAATAATGGTTTCTATTTCTCTGCTGAGGTTTTTTATCTTTTCACGAATTAAAGTAGATTTTCCTTTATGTCTTTGAGCGAGTTATAACTGTGCCTTCAGAAATCCTTGTCTGCTAATTTCAGTATCCGGGTCATCTCAGAGTCAGTCCCTATTAACTGTCTTTTCTCTTTAGAATAGGTCATGCTTTTCTGTGTCTTCCTATGTTGAGTAATTTTTTTATATTCTGGACATTGTGAATGTTATGTTATGGAAATTCTAGATTCTGTTATATTTCTCTAAATAGTGTTGGTGGTGGTGGTAGGGGTGGTGTTGCTTTAAGCAGACAATTAATTTGGTTGGCCTCAAAATGCAAACTCTGTCTCTATGGCAACAGCTCAAATCTCAGTCCAGTTCTTTCATCTTTAACTAGGCCGCTTGGAGTCTGCCCAGGGCACCTGTAGTTCAGGGCTCAGCCAGACATATGGGCAGAGTTTATATGCAGTATTTGGGATTCCCTCCCACTGGCTCACTCCCATTTGGGGTTCACTTTTCACTTTCCTGCAGCTGTGGTTGTCCCCAAACACTGTCTTGTAGTTCTTCAAGCCAAAATGACTGTGAGTTTTCTACCAGTTTGGTTCTCCTGTATGGTGCAGACTGGGACCTGCCCTCAGGTTTAAAATCATTTTAAAAAAAAAAGCAACAAAAAACCCTGACCCCATGGCTGTCACCTCATTCTCAGTGTCAACTTTCCTCCAGAATCTTCGTGCTTTTGGTCACTTTCACGTAGGGGTATTTTCTTTTGTTTGCTTTTTAAATGTTGTCTAAAACTTAGACATTTTATTTAAATGCAGATCAGTCTGATAGAAGATTACTTGGCCATTATAGAAGTGGACTGAATATTTATTTCTTTAAAGAAATAATAATATGAAGATGCTAAGAAATTTTTTTATGGATGAGTAAAGTAATTATATGGAAAAGCACATATAATTAGACTAACAGATTAGGTTATTTTTTGGCAAACAAAAACCCTTTGACTATATATTTCTAATTTCAAGGAAATCTGCATATGTAACAACAAATACAATACAAAGATAGGAAAAGTAATAAAGGAAAAACCTGTTTTTAAAAAAGGGAAAAAAATTACACTTCAACTATTTTGAAATAAAATATTTGAACCTCTTTTGTATTATTTTAGGAATAAATCTAATGAAGCTGATGAGTGTCAAAGAGAACTTAGAAAACTGAAGTTCGAATCCATTATTTCTGAGTCACGGTATACACTGCAAATTTTTTATTTAATAGTTTTAGTAATTGAATTTGAAACCATATTTTAAATAACATATAAAATGTACTTAGCTTTTCTTATTGTATTGTTTACATAAACAATACCTAATTCAAGTTTATAATATATTGAAGCTATTCATTGATTTTGCCTTTGCCTGGATGGGAAAATTTTTAAATCGCAGAACTATTCATTTACATAACGTTCTTATTTTAAAAATTAAAGTTATACTCTTTAGTTTTAAATGAGATATTTATATATCTTTGATAAACATAAAAATATAGTGTTTAATGCATATTGGTTGGGTTTTTTTCTTATTCCATTTTAGGCACACCAGATTGCTTAAAGAAAAGGAAGACTCTTTAATGACTTGTCAACAAATATATAAAACTTTACAGGAAGAACTGACTGCAAAAGAAAGGCAAGAAGCTGACTTAAAAAGAAGAATTAATCTTGCAGAAAACGAACTGGAAATAACCAAAACTCTTCTGAATCAGACAAAGCAAGAGGTTGTAACACTGAAAAGTGAAAGGTGCAGTTAAGAATAATTTCTTCCAAATATATTTTATGTTTAAGTCAGTATTCCATATCTATTTGAAACACCAAGGTCCTATATATTTTGATAACAGTGAAATCACAGGATTAAAGATATATTTCACCTGAAAGGGCATCGCATCCCACCACCTCATTTTACAAGTGATTAAACTGAATCCCAAATTGGTTAAATGACTTGCTTAACATCACACAGTTAGTGCAAGTAGAGATGGAACCCACATGGCATTTGGTGTTAGATTTTTGTTGAAAAGAATCAAAAAGATCATGTGTGGTACTTATACTACTGAGCTTTACCTCAGACAGTAATTGGTGGATTCTATCATTTTCCAATAGAAAAACATCTTTTTATGTCACCTTTTCCTTTTATTAGCTCTTACTTTTCTTCTCTCTTTGTTATTTGTCAATACCTGTTATTGGGGACTCTCCACAAGCAAAGATACCTCTGGTGTTGCGTTAGTATCAAGGATACTAAGAAGCGTATTCCTCCACACAATCTAGATATTTTTGCTCAGTTTATTTGTCTTTAAATTAAACTTACCTGTACTTAGTATCTCAACCCTGCTTTCTTTCTTTTTGTTTTCATTTGCCTGATATGTCTTTTATTCTTTCTGAGTCCTTTTGTTTTGAATTCATATTGATATATAGCACAAATTTGGGGGGTTTGTTGGTTTTTATTAAATCTAGGAGTCTTTAAGGGAACATATTATGCCATTTACATTTATTGATATAACTATTATATTCCATAAGAACTGAAGTTCCATAAGGGCAAGAATTTTTGTCTTGTATTATTCTCTGTGTATAGAAGGCACAATTGGCTATTTGTTTTTCATTCTTCTATCATATTCTTTTCATTGGAGTAGAATTGTTTTACAATGTTGGCTTAGTTTCTGCTGCACAATGAAGTGAATCAGCTATATGTATACCTATATCCACTCCCTCCCCCGTCACACCCATCACGGAGCACCTGTCACAGAGCACCGAGCTGCGCTTCCTGTGCTTTATAGCATGTTCCCACTAGCTAGCTGTTTTCTATGTATGGTAGTGTATATATGTCAATCCTAATCTCCCAGTTCATCCCACCCTCCTCTTCCCCCTCTGTGTCCACATGTTCGTTCTCTATGTCTACCTCTCTATTCCTGCCCCGCAGATAGGTTCATCTGTACCATTTTTCTAGATTCCACATATATGTGTCAATATATGATATTTGTTTTTCTCTTTCTGACTTACTTCACTCTGTATGACAAACTCTAGACCAGCCACATCTCTACAAATGACCCAGTTTCATTTCTTTTTATGGCTGAGTAATATTCCATTATGTATATATGCCACATCTCCTTTATCCATCTGTTGATGGACATTTAGGTTGTTTCCATGTCCTGGCTATTGTAAATAGTGCTGCAATGAACATTGGGGTACCTGTGTCTTTTTGAATTATGGTTTTCTCAGGGTATATGCCCAGTAGCAGGATTGCTGGATCATATGGTAGTTCTATTTTTAGTTTTTTAAGGAACCTCCATACTGTTCTTCACAGTGCCTGTATCAATTTACATTCCCACCAACAATGCAAGAGGGTTCCCTTTTCTCCACACCCTCTCCAGCATTTATTGTTTGTAGATTTTTTTTTTTTTTTTTTTGCAGTACGCAGGCCTCTCACTGCTGCGGCCTCTCCCGCCACGGAGCACAGGCTCTGGACGCGCAGGCCCAGAGGCCATGGCTCAGGGCCCCAGCCGCTCCGTGGCATGTGGGATCCTCCCGGACCGGGGCACGAACCCGTGTCCCCTGCATTGGCAGGCAGACTCCCAACCACTGCACCACCAGGGAAGCCCCTATTGTTTGTAGATTTTTTGATGATGGCCATTCTGACTTGTGTTAGGTGATACCTCATTGTAGTTTTGATTTGCATTTCTCTAATAATTAGTGATGTTGAGCATCTTTTCATGTGCCTCTTGGCCATCTGTATGTCTTCTTTGGTGAAATGTCTATTTAGGTCTTCTGCCCATTTTTTGTTTGGGTTGTTTATTTTCTTGATATTGAGCTCCATGAGCTGTTTGTATATTTTAGAGATTAATCTTTGGCCATTGCTTCATTTGCAAATATTTTCTCCCATTCTGAGGGTTTTCTTTTCGTCTTGTTTATGGTTCTCTTTGCTGTGCAAAGCTTTTAAGTTTAATTAGGTCCCATTTGTTTATTTTTGTTTTTATTTTCATTACTCTAGGAGGTGGGTCATAAAAGATCTTCTGTGATTTATGTCAAAGAGTGTTTTTCCTTTGTTTTCCTCTAAGTGTTTTATAGTGTTCGGTCTTACATTTAGGTATTTAATCCTTTTTGAGTTTACTTTTGTGTATGGTGTTAGGTTGTGCTCTAATTTCATTGTTTTACATGTAGCTGTCCAGTTTTCCAGGCACTACTTATTAAAGAGGCTGTCTTTTCTCCATTGTATGTTCTTGCCTCCTTCATCATAAATTAGGTGACCATATGTGCATGGGTTTATCTCTGGGCTTTCTAGCCTGTACCATTTCTTTATATTTGTTTTCTGTTTTGCCAATACCATACTGTCTTGATTACTGTAGGTTTGTAGTATAGTTTGAAGTTGGGGAGCCTGATTCCTCCAGCTCTCTTTTTCTTTCTCAAGATTGCTTTGGCTATTCAGGGTCTTTTTTGTTTCCATACACATTATGAAATTTTTTGTTGTAATTATGTGAAGAAAGCTATTGGTAATTTGATAGGGATTGCATTGAATCTGTAGATTGCTTTGGGTAGTATAGTCATTTTCACAATATTGATTCTTCCAATCCAGGAACATGGTATATTTCTCCATCTATATAAGTCATCTTTGATTTCTTTCATCAGTGTCTTATAGTTTTCTGAGTACAGGTCTTTTGCCTCCTTAGGTAGGTTTATTCCTAGGTATTTTATTCTTTTTGTTGCAGTGGTAAATAGGGTTGTTTCCTTAATTTCTCTTTCTGATTTTTCCTTGTTAGTGTATAGGAGCACCACAGATTTCTGTGCATTAATTTTGTATCCTGCAACCTTACCAAATTCATTGATTAGTTCTAGTAGCTTTCTGGTGGCATCTTTAGGATTTTCTGTGTATAGTATCATGTCATCTTCAAACAGTGATAATTTTACTTCTTCTTTTCCAATTTGTGTTCCTTTTATTTCTTTTTCTTCTCTGATTGCCATGCCTAAAACTTCCAAAACTATCCTGAATAAGATTGGCAAGTGTGGACATTCTTGTCTTGAGAGACTGGACGGCCTTGTCTTGTTCCTGATCTTAGTGGAAATGCTTTCAGTTTTTCACCATTGAGAATGATGTTTGCTGTGGGTTTGTCATATGTGGATGGCCTCTATTATGTTGAGGTAGGTTCCCTCTATGCCCATTTTCTGGAGAGTTTTTATCATGAATCGGTGTTGAATTTTGTCAAAAGCTTTTTCTGCATCTATTAAAATGATCATATGGTTTTTATTCCTTAATTTGTTAATATGGTATATTACATTGATTGATTTGCATATATTGAAGAATCCTTCCATCCCTGGGATAAATCCCACCTGATCATAGTATACAATCCTTTTAAGGTGTTGTTGAATTATTTTTGCTAGTATTTTGTTGAGGATTTTTACATTTATGTCAATCAGTGATATTGGTCTGTAATTTTCTTTTTTTGTGATATCTTTGTCTGGTTTGGTATCAGGGTGATGGTGGCCTCATATAATGAATTTGGGAGTCTTCCTCCCTCTGCAATTTTTTGGAAGAGTTTGAGAAGGATGGGTGTTAGCTCTTCTCTAAATGTTTGATAGAATTCGCCTGTGAAACCATCTGGTCCTGGACTTTTGTTTGTTGGAATATTTTTAATTACAGTTTCATTATTTGAGGTAGGTCTCTTCATATTTTCTAATTCTTCCTGGTTCAGCCTTGGAAAATTGTATCTTTCCAAGAATTTGTCCACTTCTTCGAGGCTGTCCATTTTATTGGCATATAGTTTTTTGTAGTAGTCTCTTATAATCCTTTGTATTTCTGCAGTTTCAGTTGTTACTTCTCCTTTTTCATTTCTGATTCTATTGATTTGAGTCTTCTCCCTTTTTTTCTTGATGAGTCTGGCTAAAGGTTTATCAATTTTGTTTATCTTCTCAAAGAGCCAGCTTTTACTTTTACTGATCTTTGCTATTGTTTTCTTCATTTCTATTTCATTTATTTCTGCTCTGATTTTTATGATTTTTTCCTTCTACTGACTTCGGGTTTTCTTTGTTCTTCTTTCTCTAGTTGCTTTAGGTGTAAGGTGAGATAGTTTATTTGAGATTTTTCTTGTTTCTTGAGGTGAAATTGAATTTCTATAAAATTCCCTCTTAGGACTGCTTTTGCTGCATCCCATAGGTTTTGGGTTGTTGTGTTTTCATTGTCATTTGTTTCTTTGTGTGTGTATATTTTTTTTTTTTTTTTTTTTTTTTTGCGGTACACGGGCCTCTCACTGTTGTGGCCTCTCCCATTGCAGAGCACAGGCTCCAGACTCGCAGGGTCAGCAGCCATGGCTTACGGGCCCAACCACTCCGCGGCATGTGGGATCTTCCCGGACCGGGGCACGAACCCGTGTCCCATGCATCAGCAGGCGGACTCTCAACCACTGTGCCACCAGGGAAGCCCTCTTTGTATTTTTTAATTTCTTCTTTGATTTCTTCAGTGATCTCTTGGTTATTTAGTAGCACATTGCTTAGCCTCCATGTATTTGTGTTTTTTACAGGTTTTTTCCTGTAATTGATTTCTAATCTCATAGCATTGTGGTCAGAAAAGATGCTTGATACGATTTCAGTTTTCTTAAACTTTCTGAGGCTTGATTTGTGACCCAAGATGTGATCTCCTCTGGAGAATGTTCTGTGTGCACTTGAGAAGAAAGTGTATTCTGCCACTTTCGGGTGGAATGTTCTATAAATATAAATTAAATCTATCTGGTCTACTGTGTCATTTAAAGCTTGCGTTTCCTC